AGAACAAGCTAACTGACACTACAGTTAGCTTGTTCTTCCCATCATCTTAAATATCCAGAGATGCAGAGTGGAGCAGCAGGAGAGATCAGAGATGAAGCAGAGCTATGATAGCAGAGCTGAACGTGAGGAAAGGAAAAAATAACTGTATCCATATAATACTAATATTGGCTTAAACTGCATGTTTTCTCAATGGCTCCAGATCTCAGTTTAACAAGATAAATTAGGCCCTAATATAACAAGAATATGACAAGTTTTAATGTATTTCCTACAACTGCTATATATCCTCCACCATTATGGGTAATGGTGCACACACTGCAGTGCGGCAAAAGCACGGGGGCGAATGTCTGATCTCTAACGGGCAGAACTGCTGTCATTACAGAAGACGGTTTTCTGAGCAGCCGTTAGGCAGAGGTTGAGTTGGAGTCTGGTGCATCTTTGGAACAGGAAAAGAAAGAAATGGATCAATTCAGACCAAAGAGAGCGATTAAACCGAGTCAGACCAGGACAGACTAAAGCTACTTAGTCAGCATGACCTGAGGAGGAGGAGGTTTGATTTACTATCATCTTCTGGCTGCATTCCACACAAAGAGACACCAGGGGGAGCCAGAGAACTGATTTTTTTCCAAACAGCAGGACATAAAGGTTCTTTCAAGCCTGACAAATGATAGATCAGGATCTAAAAATCGTCCTAATAAGACATTTTTGTCTTATTTCAGATAATAATAGAGATAGCAGCATCATCATCATTTATCTTTCTCTTCCAAAATGTTTACCTGACTCCTTTTTCCTGAGTTAAGTCTTTGGTTGCTGACTTTCGGTTCCTGTGGTGCAAAAAATTCCTTCATGAATTTAATAAAATAGAAACTGGAACTATAGCTGAGCCAAATATTCCCTAAAGTTCATCAGCCTGACGGAAGAGTAAGGAGGAGCTGTCAGGAGGTCAAAGGTCATCTGGTGCCTTCGCTTCTGGGGTCCCCTTGGGCGCCTGGGGCTTTGGGTCTCCCGGCGCTGGACTCAGTGCTCTGGGGGGGGCGCCTCTCCGGCTCTCCACAACCACTATTGAGCATTTTTTTTTTTCTATGGTTAAAACTTTACATGCACAAGTTCACCCTCACAAACAACTACAGGTGCTAGGCTTCAGGTACTTAGAGATTCACTTCCAAACAGAAACCC